AGCCAGTAAGCTCATCCACTTTGGCGGATCAGATGTATAATCCTGCTCCTACAGCTGGCCTCAGGCATGTCGCTACCTGAGGCGGAATAAGAATGGCACTCCCATCTAGCCAGGCCAAGGGGCACAGTTAGCTAATGCCAGTCCTGTGTTTGTGACACCTGAAGCAGAGGCAGAACTACAGCCCTGTTCGGGCACTAGGGCTTGAAAAATGGTCTGGAACAGGGGGAGGGCACATGTAGCTCCTGCCCTGCTCTATCCCTGCCCCACTTGGAAGTGAGGAAGACCTTCGCTTGTTCACTGCAAAGGTCCACAGCACTTCTTGCAAGCACGTTCTGATTAACACGCTTAAAGCATTTCTCTGAGTCATGGAAATGCTGTAATCGTGTTCTGCACAACCTGTTTACAAGCACCAGCAATGGACTTTCACTGTAAACAAGCAAAGGTCTTCCTCACGTCTACAGGGGGTGGGGATGTGAGAACAGGACTCACGTGTGCATCCCTGTTTCCACCATGCTTCAAGCCCTACCCAGGTTTGGGATTTAACATCTGAATGGGGGTTACCTCTCATTAAGGCCCTGCTCACATGAGGGAAACGTTCTCTAGTTATCCACCAGTTGTTGTGTTTGTTTTTCTGGTCACACAACGATGCACAGTCGAGGTCAAAACATTTTGCCTGCCAGTGGTGTAACTGCGGTTTATTTTCCACTCCCTGAGAGGCTTGTGTTATTTTGTGCTTCTGTTGTACTGGTGGATTCCTTAGCAGATTTGCCTCTGTGCACCATCTGCCCTGCTTCGTTTCTGAGGCGAAGGCTGTAAGTTTGCCACCATTACTTAGGCTCGCATATATTTTTTTCTTTTCCTGTTCTGTCCAGTACATCAATACATTGCTAAAAGTACATTATAGCCAGGATTTTTTAAAAAAGAGTCCATATTAACCATACATGAAGGCAAGGGTTTTTACCATTACTGGCTGTGCAGAAAGAAAAAAGTTTTACAGCCGCCCCTTCCTAACTGCCTGCACGTTCGTATGTGTAGGCAGAGCCTGCCAGCCTTACTTCCGAGAATGTGCCTCTTTTGTTTTCGTGACCCTTTAATTGATAATTGGGTGAACTTGTGCCTAGATTTTTAGATAGATTATACAGTACCCAGATGGCTTGACTTCTGTGTTATTTTGTCCAGTGAATATACAGTGACATATGGTGGTCCATTGTGTGCAATGCATTTCTGCAGGATATATATCACGTGATTGCAATCCAATACAACCAAGGTATTGGATTGCAATCCAATATATATCACGTGATTGCAATTCAATACAACCAAGGTATGGTAAGTATTGGAAGAACTACAGAACATTTCCCTCGAGTGACCAGGCCCTATTGCTGGCAACAATATGACAAAGGAAATACTGTATATGTAATGAAAAAGAAACAACCAGTCATATGCCTATTGCTGGCAACAATATGACAAAGTTGTTTCTTTTTCATTACATCCAGAACCTGCTCCCTGAGGGGGGCACCTTTCTCTGCCTGAAGCTATGGCCAGTCAATCCAGCATCCATCTATCAAAATGAATTTAAATTGCAGACTTTATAAATTGCACATTTCGAGTATTTAAAGCACTTAACATACATTTGCCAGAATCCTGTTGGCCAAAAAGGGGGAGCATTCGGTGTCGGCCCCTAAAATCTATGGCTTGCAGCTATTCAGTTTTAACCCAGTTAAAACAATGGGGATTTCTGATTCTTTAAGGGGCGAATGGATTCCCCTTTGGGCAAGCAGAAGAGAAAGAGCAATTGTACGTGGCCGGGACCATTCTGTATGTGTTTCATAAACAAAAGGATACTGGTAATTTATCTCAGTAGTCCCACAGTAACCTTATAAGGTAGGTCAGACTGAGGCCCCCACCCCACTCCCACCACATTATGCCACAATGCTTAGTATTACAGCTGGAGTAGGTGGAGAAGCCACTGCGTTCAGGAGCCTGAGGTGAGATGTAGGTTATAGATTTTATAACCTTCAGCAATAGCTATAAGATTCCACTTATAGCTACTGCTATTATTAGTCATGCATTTTATTTCATTTATATCCCTTCTTCTTCTTCTTCTTCTTCTTCTTCTTCTTCTTCTTCTTCTTCTTCTCAGAAATGCAGAGCAGGACAGGATCCTATGGATCATCATGTTTCTCAGTTTAGGGACTCTGTGCCCATGCCCACATAGTCAAGGTCATGACCCTGGCTAAGTCAGAGCAGGCTTCTGCAGGGAGTGAGGGAACTGGGCTCCTGATAGCCCTTCCCAGTCAATGGAAGTGTGGAAAGAGGTGGTGAGAATTTCATCCCATACTGTGCCTGGATCAAGCTTCTGTCCGTGGAGCTTGGGATTTGACTTACTTCAAAGGCAAATTGCTGGGGCCTGATGACCATAGTATAGGTTGGCACATACTCTAGAAAGCAGGGCATGCAGCTACCATGATTTAGTGCAACATCTGATCATGTGACTTGTTCTTTTCTCAAAGGGGGAAAGATGGGTAAGCAGAACCCTGAAAAACAAAATTCCAGTACACGTGTAGAGAGCAAAGCTTGGCAGAAATGAGGTTGAAAACCTAACATCAGTATTTGTATCAATATTTTGACATTATTTTTCCAAATAATACTGCTGTTCTTTGTTACCACAAAAAGCAGAGCTTAGAAGTAATGAGTTATGAATAAAATACAGTAGTTACCATGAGCTAAATACTTTGCAATGTTAGCAACAAATACTGTATAAAGTTACTTTTAGATATAATGGGTAACATTTCCAATTAACTTGAAATGTTATTTTTAACAGCATTTCAACGCTTCCAATTAACTTTAAATGTTATTTTTAACAGCATTTCAACGCATTTTAGGGGCCTTTTGACAAGAATTTTTCAAGTTTTATGTCACTCTCCTATTAATCCTAAATGGCAAGGGAAATACGGGTTTGTTTCATTTTTTGTATTTTTCCATGTATTTTCATGGGTGCAGTATCAGAACTGGTCACTGGAGGGAGCATTGTTTTTATTTCTGGTCTGATGGTAAAGAAAGATAGAGCAGCACATTAATAAAGCCTGCACGACCTTTAATGACAAAGCAATAGGAACAAGAACAATCCTATGTCTGCCTCAGTGTCATGAGTAATGAAGCAAGTTCCTTTAAATAAAAATTGTACTCCAAGCTCTGGTAGCACATTTTTCCTTCTGTGAAAGAAATGCTCATTTTCTTTGTGGAGAAAATGGCGGTGTGCTGCAGGCCCGCAGCAAGCTGGAGAATCCAAGCCTACCTGAAAACAGGCTTGAGAGACAACCGGGGTCTCTTGTCATGAGTAATGAAGCAAGTTCCTTTAAATAAAAATTGTACTCCAAGCTCTGGTAGCACATTTTTCCTTCTGTGAAAGAAATGCTCATTTTCTTTTCTTTGTGGAGAAAATGCCAGTGTGCTGCAGGCCCGCAGCAAGCTTGAGAATCCAAGCCTACCTGAAACAGGCTTGAGAGACAACCGGGGTCTCTCACAAGTGCCCAAGTTCAGACCTTCCCACACCAGAGATGCCATCCTGGAACATGGGCCCAAAGAAAGCCAGAATATTCATCTTGTTACCAGCAAGCCTCCCAAGGACTACGGGAGGGTCTACTGGATCAGAGAGGAGTGTTTACCAACGAAGTCAGGCCCCAGGGCTGCTGGTGGCAGCTTGCCCATTGAGGCAAATGGAAAACTGGCCCAAAATGGGCTCAGGCTACCCCCAGCTGGCCTTTTTTCCTTCCACACATATGAATACTTGCTTGCCTGCCAATGAACATCTGTCTGGTTGGTGTCTCATTTTGCACATGAGTGTCTGCATGTCTGCATGTGTAGGAATGCTTACTTTCATCCTTGTTCTGCCTATTAGGGGCTGCTGTGCCCTCCCCCTTGCCAACCGCATCGGGTTCTAGCGGTCCCTGGCCCCTCTATGCCTCGCTCTGAAAGAGATGGCAGAGAGTCATGATGTTTTCCTTTGGCCTGTGTGACTCATCCCCACGGCAGCCGCAAGACAAATATATACGCTTGCAAGTCTCCTCAAACACATCTTGCAAAATTGCACCCGAAGATACGAAGAGAGAGAAAGAGGTTTTGCATTTGGATTCCGAATACAGAACCTCCACAGCACGTATTCATGCAATCAGTATACACGTCTCCCTTTAGCGAGGTGGAGGTTAGGGGCACCGGACCCCCGAGTAGTTCAAAATTCGTATATAACTCTTACACCCTCCAAAATGTAACTACAAAGTTGATTAACACATACACAGACACACACAAATAAAGTAAAATAGTTTTCTCTATCGGCATAGTGTTGACAATTCTTTCCATACAGTACCATGTACAGTATAATCTGAATTAACAATGTTGTGTTTTGGGGCAAGTAGACCACTTTGATGCCTTCGGTTTTGAAATTAAGGGGTTATTTGTGGCTGGGGTACAGTATTTATTGAATATTTATTTGTTGAATATTTTGGGGCAAGTAGACCATTTTGATGCCTTCAGTGTTGAAATTAAGGGCTTATTTGTGGCTGGGGCACAGTATTTATTGAATATTTATTTGTTGAATATTATTTATTGATTGATTTTTTAAAATTGGAATATATATTTATTGAACAAAAATCTGTGTATAACCAGAACTGTACTGTTCAGACCCGTGCAATTCAAGGGAGAAGTATATTGTAAATTCTCTCCTCTCTCACGCATGCATACACAAGGCCCTGTGATGCCTTCGTCAACATGTCACATGTCTGTGAATGCATGAACAGTAGGAACAACAGTAGTCCAACAGATGATTCTCCTGTTCTTTTGTTCCCACCCTCCTGAAGCTCTCTGTCGACTTCAGTCCTGCTTTGTGGCTGAAGCACCTTGTATAGAGAGGGTAAAGGCTGATGAGTGAGGGCATCAAGCCCCAATCTACCTCATCCATCTTTCTTGGGCCTGTCCATCTGATGTTCTGTCTCCCCTTCCCCCAGGAAAGATCTGCTCCATCATGTCTATTGAGAAGATTCACGCCCGGGAGATCCTGGACTCTCGTGGGAATCCTACCGTTGAGGTGGATTTGTACACAGAAAAAGGTATGGGCTGATGTGGGAGAGGGAAAAGGAAAGCTGATCTCTCATCTGCGCCCACCCACCCATCCAATATCTGGCTGACAAATGAGCTCTGTCTAAAGGTGGTGAGCTGGAAAGGGCAGGAGACACCATGTGGAGACGGCCTGAGGGTGGAACTGTCCCTCTCTCTCTTTCTCTCTCTCTCTCTCTCTCTCTCTCTGTCTCTCTCTCTCCTCCTCCCTCCTTCTGTCTAGCAAGAATAACAAGGAGGAAAAACATCAGAGCGATTTAATTCTATCCTCTGTTGTGTTCTACATTCCTACTTTTAAAGCAGGAGAGAGCTGAAGAAGCAAATTAAGTGCGACATATTGAGATGCCTTCAGCAGGGGAGCGTTTTGAACAAGCAACTATTCCTGGCCATTAATCCCGGTTCACACATCTACACACTACACGTACAGACTTCAGGACAAAGGGGTTTGAACATAGCCCATGAGAACTCTTAAGCCACCCTCTTTTCCACAGAGGACACATGCTGCTTTGAGAAGAACACAACCAAACAATATCACTTCAGTCCATACGAATATTGTACTTCACTCCAAGCACTGGAAATGAGGGGGGGGGAGAATAAAATTGCTGAAGCTCTCATCAAGGGGGCAAGCCTTGGCTTGAGGGCAATTTTGCTATTCGCTGCAGCCCTCAGAGACTCCAGGCATGACCCATTTGCAGCCAGGCATCCCCTTAACCCACCAGGCACCATTTCCCAGCTCCTGGATGTTGTCATTAGGCTCGACCTGGTTCCATAAGGGTCCACTTGCCGCCTTGCTGAGCACCATCTTTTCGCTCCCAGGCTCTGCCTCTTGATTCTCAGATCTTGGCCTTAGCCAGCCTTGACAACCCGCAAAGGACAAACGTACAAGTACATGAATTGCCCTTTCATGAGTTCCAGGAGGTGGCGCATGCTTCAGTGAACTGTGAATGATATATTCCTGCGTTCCAAGAGAATTCTAGAACTCGATTTTGCCCTCTGAAAAATTTGTGGCATCTGTTTAAATCAGTGCTCAGCGGGAATGTTTGCCACAGCTCAAACAATATAATGAGGCAGCTTTAGTCACTCTCCTTTCTCGTGGTTTTAATGCTCAGGAAGAGAAATGAAAGTGATGCAACAAAGAGTATGAACTTTCTTATAGAACAGAGATTTGTGTCTAGCCTCACTCTCTGAACAACACAAGCTAAGGTGGCCAGATATGTAAGTGCTGATGTACCTTATGATTTTTTTTTCTTTCTTCATTGGCCGAAGAAATTCATAGCACCCTGCAATAAACCCAGATTTCAATTTTTTCTATTTCTTTACAGTAGCCTGTACACAATTCTATAGTTTCATGACATAGGTACAACTGAGAATACATAGCATTGTACAGATGCAGTCTCAAAGGCAAGTTTAATTTTTTTGTTGCCATCTTATAAAAGCTGTTCCAAGCCATCCGAGTTCTGACTTCTGTTGCTTGGCTATTCCACTGCTCTTTCAATCAAATTATGGTGCAAGCCCTATTGTAATTTTATGGCCACATAAAGCTATTGGTGTACAATTGTTGCACATTATGAGGTCCATGTAAAAGTTACGTGTTGCTTTCGGAGTGGCGTAACTCCCTGTGCAACAGCTAACCTTTACACTGACCTTGTGATATGTGGCATTTCACCTCCAAAAGTTGTGCCACTTGTGTTAAAGTTGCAGGTGTAACTAAAAAGATTTTATCCTATATTTTTCAATGTACTGCACACTTCCATTTTGGATATCTAATTGCATTTTCTGGGTTCCTTGCTTGATACAGTTTACATTTTTACTATTGAGGGCCAAATGAAAAGTTACATTAATTGTAGGCACACAATAAATACATTTGGTTAAGGATAGCACCCATGGAAAAGCCTGTGAAACCTAAGGGCTGTGAAGGATGGAGAAAGGAAGCTTGACCCTTTCTGCCCACGCCAGGATCCCAAGGGGGAGTAAGAATGTCTTTCCAAAACTGATTTTGCATTTAAAAGAGACACACCAATTGGTTTCCAACAATATATTTAAAAACATGATTGGTTATATGAATGAGAGATGGTGCTTCTCAATGGCTATGACAGATGATAGCTAAATGAAACATCCATGTCCAGTGGTGGTGATGGTGGTATAATTATTGGTAATAATATATTCTATAATGTCTACAAGTGCCTACAATGGACAGGTGAACTGGAAGGGAAAGACTGGAAAAATAAGATATATTTTCAAAGTGACAGAACTGTCTGAATATCAAAAGGAAGAGAATGACAAAGAAACAGACATGGAAAACGGAGTGGCATGGATAGAGAAAAAAAAAAACCAGCAAGATCTTAATTAAGGTCCATGAAGAAGAAGAAAAGACAAAATATAAACATTTGCAGGCAAAATTCCTTTGTCTTAAGGAAACCAGACAAGGGACAACGATGTATTGTGCGATGTATCAGAACCTAGCAACTATGAAAAGCACGGTGAAATAGTAGACGGTGATGAAATAGAAACTTGGAGTAAACATCTAGAAATATTTAATTTTAAGAGGAATGAGATTTAAGCCAACAGGACAAAAAACAAAACACAAAAGGAAAAAGTCTAAAGATAAGACAGCAACAAAAGAGGGAAGTGTCTGAAACAGAAATACTGTATAAACCTATGTAAAAATGACAGATGACTGAAAAATGAAGCAGCTGTAAAAAAAAAGTTCATAAGAGAAGGTGAAGAAGTAAGACTGAAAACAGAAAAGAATTCAACCAAGAATTAAACCTTGGAGACTCTGACATGGGAAATAAAAGGAGAGGAGTAAATACTAGATACAGAGAAACAATTGAAATTATTAGAATTAAACCGTGTCAATCTAAAATCTAATGCAATGTAAAGAAGAAAATAATTGTGTACAGTGTTAAAATTGGAGAACAGGTCTAGAAGAAGCATGGTAGGAAGAATTAAATCAAATAAGGACAACAGGATGGACTTAGACCAAACGCACCATATTTTTGAAGCAGAAAGAAGTTTGTATAGCAGAATGAGAATAATATTAGTAGAGCCTAGAGCAGTGGCTCCCAGTCCTTTTTCACTTGCCCATAAATTGTACACTTCACATTAGCAAAATGTTTGTTATGAAGCATTTAGCAGCACTCAAACCTTTTCAAAGTGAAGGAGAGTGAAAGCTGTGCTTGTGAGAAGTGCATTGCCAAGCACGCACACTGCAGTGATGTATTAGCAACACATCGTTTACAGAAGGGCTCCCCACCATTTGCCAAAATAACAAAGCAAGAGAATTTTTCAAGGTTAAATAACAAAGAAAGCCCATCCCACCACTCATCATAGCATTCAAATAATTTCACTACTTTTGACTCTTCTCTAGTCTTACACTGTTTACATATGTAACTTTTCCTGCCTCCCCCACATGTACCCCATAGATGTCCTAGTTTTTACCCCTGGAGGTACACTTACCCCAGGTTGGGAATCGCTGATCTAGATAATGTTTCTAACAGTAAGTGCTTGGGATGAAGAAAGGAAGGGAATTGAATATGATAAAAAGTGGGGGGTTGACAGTGCAATCCCATGCATGTTTGGTCAGATTCAAATCCCACTGGGGTCACAGAGAGAGAGAGAGAGAGAGAGAGAGAATGAGGGAGAGGGAGAGAGATAGAGATGTTAAGCAATGAAATGGAGTACATAGCATATTTACAAGGTTGAAAGGGATATTAAAATAGGGACAGATATCTGATAACGAAAGGAAAAATAGTATTTAGATGCAATAAATAAAGGAATAAGGAGAAATGATAAGGATTAGAGGTAGAGGTTGAGTCAACGCCAGATTTGTAGAAGAAGAAATATATACCTCTCTCTCTCTCTCCTCTCTCTCTCTCTCTCTCTCTCTCCCTCTCCCTCCCTCCCTCCCTCCCTCTCTCCCTCCCTCCCTCTCTCTCTCTGTGTGTGTTTGTGTGTGTGTGTTTGTGTGTGTGTGTGTGTGTGTGTGTGTGTGTGTGTGTGTGTGTGTGTGTGTGTGTGTGTGAGAGAGAGAGAGAGAGAGAGAGAGAGAGAGAGAGAGAGGTTTTAGGAAAAAATGAAGGCACAGGCAGAGAACAAAATATCTGAATGATAGGTGCTGAAGGGGGAAAGATGTGGGGAAACTGTTTCTTGCATGTCTTGCTTGTACATTTTCTATCTGCAGCCTTTCCATGGATGGAGTGAGAGGGACTAGCAACATGGTTCCTGACTTCTTACAGGGATGTTGAAAATGGTACCAGGTCCCCATCTAATCCTCAACCAGCATCCATAGTGGTTGAGAAGTGCTGCAGGAGCAGCAGCAGGACAAACCACCCTTTCTTTAAAAAATGGCAAAGATTGCAAAGACTGGGCAGCAGTTTGGATAGGACCAGAAATGTTGGCCTAAATATACTCTGTGAAGGATATTCTGAGATAGACTTGAAAGTAAAAACATGAATGCATGCTTAATGTGCCTAATAATCTATGATTTAATAAGCAACACTAATAGCATTACATTAAATGGTTAGGAATGTTATAACTGGTTGCCAAGAGCTTGCCAATGTTTATTGCAGTACTTTAGCACTTTCCAGAATATGGGAAAGGAGAAGTAAGATTGCAGAAAATACCACTGGGATGATTTCCATTCTCAATCCAAAAGTAAAAGGGTTGATTTACTAAAATCCACTGGGCCTATTCGATATGAGAGAATTTAGGCTTTGGTGGTGTACCTCAGATTTTCGAAGGACCACTGGATAATCAGAGTCCTTTGCTTGCTTAGTTTAGCTTAGTGGTTCCCATCCTTTGGTCTCCAGATGTTCTTGGGCTAAACTTTCTAGATGCTTTCCTTCGCCACTAGCTGTGCAGGTCAGGATTTCTGGGAGTTGTAGTCCAAGAACGTCTGGTTTGGCACCACTAGCTCATTATTTCCCTTCCTGTTTCCCACCTGTGGATTCCAATTCTTCCTCAGGAATGTTCCGGGCAGCTGTCCCTAGTGGGGCTTCCACTGGCATCTACGAAGCACTGGAGCTGCGTGACAACGATAAATCCCGATTCCTTGGGAAAGGTAATGGCTTTCCAGAATGTGTTCCCTACGCAACAACCAATCTTCCAGATAGAGGTGTGTGTGTGTGTGTGTATGCATGCACACGTGCAACTGTGGGGCTGACAACAAGAGCAGATGTCTGCCAAAGCAATGCCACAGGCTTCAGCCCCACGATGGAGTGGCAGGAAAGAAGTGATGGTCTTGTGTGCCTTTCTTCTCTGTCTCTTACGACTTTCTGCTTCTGTGTGACACTTTGTGGTCTTTTTCCTTTCTGTAGGGGTCTTGCAGGCGGTGGACCACATCAACAGCACGATTGCCCCTGCTCTCGTGAGCTCTGTAAGGATTGCCCTTTGTTCCTCATTTTCACGTAGGCTTTATATATTTTGACCTTCTAGTTCTTTTCAGACTTTAAGCCTGAAAATGGGTAGGGCAAGAATCCCCTGGGGGTGGGAATGGAGATACAGTGGTGCCTCGCTAGACAGTTACCCCGCATGACAGTTTTTCCCCGCTAGACATTGACTTTTTGCGATCGCTATAGCAATTTGCAAAACAGTGATTCCTATGGGGGAATTTCGCTGGACAATGTTTGGTCCCGGCTTCGCAAACCGATTTTCGCTAGACAACGATTTTGACAGCTCCCTCCACGCTCGCAAAACAGGTGTTTTTGGGACCTAAGCTTCGCAAGACAGCGATTTAAACAGCTGATCAGCGGTTCACAAAGCGGCTTTCCTATGGCCGATCTGCGCTAGACAACGATGATTCTTCCCCATTGGAACGCATTAAACAGGTTTCAATGCATTCCAGTGGGGAAATGGTTTTCGCTAGACAATGATTTTGCTAAACAGCGATTTCAGTGGAACGGATTGTCATCGTCTAGGGAGGCACCACTGTATAAACGTAAGCCCCACCTCACCACAAAGGTCAGCTGCAGACAGAGGTATGTGTCAACACATGCAGGTGAACGTGCTTCCAGTGTTTCAGGGGCTGAAATCTGTGGCTTAGCATAGTAAGGAGGCAGCTATGTTGGCCATTTACTCCACATTTGCATTGGATTGGGGCCCGGATGAATTCAGATTGAAACACAAGGACGACAGGACCTAAAACTCAGTATCGGGAAGCCCCTTGTGGAATCGTCTTCTCTGAGTGGGGAAGTTTTGTTTTGTTTTTGTTCGGCCAGCAGGGCTGCTTTCAATTTGTTCTGATCCAGCTGACATTGCTTTTGTCTAATTTCTGCCAGTGTGATCGTCAGATCCAAGGCAAAAAGGTGCTTGTGTGAGAACGCTCCTTGTCTCCAAACGTGTTCTTAATAAAGGTGGTGGGGGTTCAACTTAGCACTTGACTTTCACCAGGGCACTTACAAAAACAATAAAAAGAGAGATGGAAATTGCCAATGACTACCTTACCAGGACCTTTAAAACCATTTCCGCTGTTGGAGCGTTGTGCAAACACAGCTTTCCGCCTCTGGTCCTTCTGACTCCTGCAAATGGTGTCTGGACGGCTACAGTGACTCCACCTGCAGAAGCTTGATTTTTCCAGGTGCAAATCACAGTGGATCAAACTGTGTTTTCCACACTGTGTAGTCACACTAAGTCACAACTAGAGTAGGCCTATTGAATCAGGGTGGGGGTTGGTGAGTCAACTGTTCCATAAATTCCACTGATTAATTGAGCCTACCCTCCTTGAGCCTTACTACATTAAGCAACAGGATTTGAGCCGGTGAGTGGAGAACCTGCCTTCTTAGAGTTTGGATGACCACAGAAACACTGTGAGAGCATTTGACAGAAGGTGCTTACAAGTCCCTCAGTGGGCCTTTGCTTTGCACTGATCACATGAAGGTCTGCCTGACATTTGGGTGGAGTGAGAGCTGGGCTTTCCTGCAGTTCTGTGTCCCCACCACACATTTAAGCCCTGTATGTTTTCAGGTTTAAAACTGAATAATACTTCTCTCTCTCACTCACTCACTCTCACTCTCTCTTGCTCTCGCTCTCGCTCTCTCACTCTCTCTCCCCCCCCTTTTTTAATTTCACCCTCTTTTTCCATTCTGAATGCTCAGGCATACTGTCTGTGTTTATGCATGTGTGTATGTGTGTACTTATGGCCAATGGTGTGTAAAAAAAAAATAGAATGTTTTTTTAAAAAAAGCAGACCTCGAAGGTTGCATGGTTGAGTGTGAGTGCAATAATTAGAATAGGCAAGAGGCATTTGTGGCCAGTTCCTTCCAGAATGTGATGCTGTTTTTCTCCAAACATCGTCCATTGCTGTTTCTTTCTCCAGGGGCTCTTGGTGGTGGAGCAAGAGAAGATTGACAACCTCATGCTGGAAATGGATGGGACAGAGAATAAATGTAATCCCTCTTTCTCTCTTCATAAGAACATGGAATGGTCATGAGGGTGGAGGAGGGGGCAGAACACCTTTGGCTGGAAGAACGACAGAGAACTGGCAGTCATGATTAGACGGCCCCGCCAGAGGTGGGCACAGGATCCAAGGCTAGAGTAGCAACAGTGGATAGAGAGCCTGTTTGGCGACAGGACTGTGTCTTGCTTATTTGATCTGATCCAGTCTGATCAGATCTCATTCTATGCTTTGCTACATTCTAATCTATCTCCTTGTGAAATCTTCACAGCTAAATTTGGAGCCAACGGCATCCTGGGTGTTTCCCTGGCTGTGTGCAAAGCGGCGGCTGCGGAGAAAGATGTCCCCCTTTACCGGCATATCGCTGACCTGGCTGGAAACTCAGATCTTATTCTTCCAGTACCTGTAAGAATCTGATCATGTTTGGTATGGGGGCAGGCAGGTGGGGAAGCAGAAGAGAAGATGGTTGAGTTGGCTATGCAATCGGAATGAATCTCCCTGATACCAGAACGGGGTGGTGGTGCGTCTACCACTGTCCATCCGCCTGCACATATCGAAATTGTGCCCAAACTATAGATGTGCATCAGATTCAGATTTGCTTTATTAACAATAATTGTCAGCTGAAAAATAATTGGTATTTTAGCAGGGCTGAGCCAGCCATGAGCCAGACTGAGCTGGTCACCTCAGGAGTCGGAGTGCTGTGGTAGAAGTAGAGCCATTAGAACCACCCCTGAAAGTCTGCCGCCTTCGTTGCCACCAGCCTCTTACCCGCCCCCCAGCTGCCACTGCCCACCCAGATACCCTTGCCGTGCTTTGCCAGGCTATGAGAAGAATATCTTGGCCTCACTGATCCTTAGAGCCATGGCACCATCTGGAGGGGCGGCCAAAAGATCGTAGATTGGGGGTGGGGATTGACACCACTGCCAATAATGCCTCGGTCCCAAGAATCATGAGAGCCAAGGCATTATTTGTATAGCCAGCCAAGAAGTGGCCACAGTGTATAGGGGAGTGGGGAGTGGAGGGTGCCACTGGCGCTCTCTTCCTCCTTTTTTTACCTCCTACTCCCCCCCTCCCAGTGAGTAGTGTGGGGGTGGCATGCTGCAGCAGGAATACTTCCCCATCTACCTGAGGTAGAATGTTCCTTGGTGTTTTCATGGTGAGCAAAATCATAAGACATTTAGGGAAATATATAACAGCTAACCCAAGTTCTAATCTGTGAAAACGGATCGTGCAGATGTGGGTCCACATTGTCCTTCCGAGTGTCACCTCTTGCTTCTCTCCTTGCAAAACCCTCCTAGGCCTTCAATGTGATCAACGGGGGCTCCCATGCTGGAAACAAGCTGGCTATGCAAGAGTTCATGATCTTGCCTGTTGGGGCAGAGAGCTTCCGAGATGCCATGCGCATTGGTGCTGAAGTCTATCACAATCTCAAGAGCGTGATCAAGGACAAATACGGCAAAGATGCCACCAACGTAGGAGATGAAGGAGGCTTTGCCCCCAACATCCTGGAAAACAGTGAAGGTGAGGAAAAGGACAGAGAGGATCATGGCTCCATTTCCTGTAGCCACAAGAAGAACACTCCACTCCCATCCTACACAGTTTGGCCAAGACAAGGTCCTGATGAGTTTAATGGGGTTATCTTCAAGGAAATTAAGTCTTAAGGACTGCAGCCTGAGTCTTTTGTTCAGGGCTTCCATGATGGGAAAAAAAAATCTTTACCCAGTCAAAGCGTGATTGATCTTTTAACTTCCTAACCTCATATTTTTTGTAGTATCCTATCTTCCAAGTTCATTACCTACATTTATTTATTTGAACATTTTCGTATCTCTCTCTCTCTCTTTTTGGTAGAGATGTATAGTGAAATAATAATAATCATGTGCCACCAAGTCAATTTTGACTTATGGTGACCCTTTCCAGCCAGTGCCTAGTGAAATTAATAATAGAAAATTAAAAATTGCAAATACATAATACAGTAAAAAGCATCAGTAAAACAACAAAAACAATTAAACAGACCATGGGATAAAACACAATAAAGTCCTATGTGAAAATTTTTGAAACAAAATAAAGGTGGCCCCAAAGCAAGCAGAGGGGGTGGGGGTGAGCAGACATTACTCTCTTGGAAGGTTAATCCACATTCTGAGGGTTGTAACTTTAGATTTTTAAAAGACGCTTTCACTTTTTGGCATGTCTTCTCCCTTCCTGTCCCTCAGCTTTGGAACTCCTGAAGGAAGCCATTGAGAAAGCGGGCTACACTGATAAGATTGTGATTGGCATGGATGTGGCCGCCTCAGAATTCTACAGAGATGGCAAATATGACCTGGACTTCAAATCCCCAGATGACCCCAGCCGCTACATCTCCGCTGATGAACTGGGGGACCTCTACCAAAGCTTTGTACGAGATTACCCAGGTAGGTGAGCCTACTGTGTGTCTACGACTTTATCCAAAGAGCAGCAGGTCATACTAGAGTTTCTGCTGGAAATAACATTTTTAAAGCACAATGCCCAGAATCTTCCAGCTGTGATGGCTGTGGGATTCTTGTTTTTTTTGGTCTAAAATGGTAACTCTTCCAGGGTTTCTGCTGTTTAAACACTGGGAGCCGTAGCAAGGCACTGTGGGAATTCTCTCATTTCTCTTTCCTCTTTCTCGTTAGTGGTGTCCATTGAAGATCCATTTGATCAGGATGACTGGGAAGCCTGGTCCAAATTCACGGCCAACGTTGGGATTCAGATTGTGGGGGATGACTTGACAGTGACCAATCCCAAGCGCATTGAGCGAGCTGTTGAAGAGAAGGCCTGCAACTGCCTCCTCTTAAAGGTCAACCAGATTGGATCAGTGACCGAGGCCATTCAAGCGTAAGTTGTTCCCTACAGCTCTATGCCTGGTGGCTTCTAGAGAGCCTAGTCACAATTCCAAGGATTCATGGTCCAGTAGGGAGGCAAATCCACTGAGCTTGCTTTATGTCCCCACAGCTGTAAACTGGCCCAAGAGAATGGCTGGGGAGTGATGGTGAGCCACCGGTCAGGGGAGACTGAAGACACCTTCATCGCTGACCTGGTGGTGGGACTTTGTACTGGGCAGGTAGGTCCTTCATGTATGCAAATCATGCCTTGTGTGTCTTTTTTGGAAAGGAACAAGTGAATTCTGGAACAGAGTATTTGTCCAATTCCTACTGCAGTCCATGATTGTTGGACTGATGGGAGTTGTAGTCCATGTTCATTGAAAACTGAGCTACGTCCTAGAGAGAGGATTGGCAGAGACAGTTCAGTATACAGGTAAAGACTGGCAGTGGATTGGGATTTCGCTATGGATGGATGGAATCCAACATATCTTTGGTCGCAATCCACAATTGCCCCTAGGCCTCAGAACGGGGGGGGGGGGGGGGAGAGAATCTCACCTCCCACCTGATTCTCTCCAGCAAGAGCCACCAGTTTGACTTCAGGTGAAAGCTGGCGTTCGCTGTCTCCATCTTTCCCTTGTAAAAAAATATATGAAGTTTTTTTTTCCTCTGGCAGGTTCCAGTCAAATATCTACTAGGAAAATAAAGAATTGAGGGAGAAAACCAACCCAACACACGAAATGGTTTTGCAAATATAGAAAAGAGGTTTATTAAAGAAATAAAGGGTCTTGCAAGATGGAGAGTCCAGAATCTTTTGACTCATATTAAAGCTTCTCAGAGAATATAAAAATGCATGCATACCTTTATAGGGATTAACCCACAACAACTGCAGAACAGTAAGTTCTGGTTTCCATAGGACAGCTTGACCTTCAAGCTACATATGTGTTTGGATGTTCCCATTTCCAAAGGCACCTTAAAGTCAGCTTTAAGGCATTCTTGCTACCTCCTGGACCGTGGTGACCCAACAGAGACTAAGGCATATTAGGTAAACATGATTGCACAACTTATACATGTTGCAACTTGTTACATTTGACATTGCAGTCAGCCTATAACCTTGAGAATGAGATGCTGACAAGGCTATTTGCTCGTTTATCTGACACCAGGAAATTGTTACTTCCTTTGCTGGTCATCATAGTACAGTATATTCAATTTCCAACTGTCAAGCTGGACTTTCAAAATATCCATGAGAAATAAAGAGAAATACATCGGGAACATATTGGAATGAAAAAGGGGATCAATATAGTTTTCTAACACCTTCCTCCTTGGAAAAAAAAGAGAGAGAGACCCCATTGTTCTACGCAGGCACCTCTTGCTTGTGCAATCCCAGATTATCAGCCCTTTGCTGTAAGCAGTTGGCCTGCCGTGAACTCCAGGGCTAGGATTAGGGACAGAGCAACTTGGGAGGCTCACAGGAGAGTCAACTGAGGTCAGAGTCAAGTGCAACCCAAAGACTGAGCTCAGAGATCTCATCAGAAAACGTGAACATGATAGTGTGAGCGTGCAAGTGAACAGAAAAGCCAGCAGATTGGTAGAGGAACAGGCCGTGGCACAATCAAAGCCCAGTTCTGGAGCCTGTAACTTGACTACTACGGTCCCATGAGCCCAAATGATTTCCAAAAACAAGAGCAGATGATAACAGGCAGAAGCATGGCAGCAAACTGACCCAGGCATGAAAATAACAATTGGTATCACCCAACACAACATACTTTTTTAAACATTTCCCCCATTATATTTTTTAAAACATGGAATGGGCATTTGGGCACACGGCATGGTGAAGCCCTAGGGGCACCCACCACCTTCAGGGTAAATTAAGAGCATACTATGGAGTTGTACTACATAGCACAACAAGCATCCCAACGTCTGTGCAAATAGAAGTGGCAAAGAACATGTAATGGAGGTGGGGGTCGGGGAACAGGCCACCAAGGGCTTGGTAAGAAGGGCAAAATACCCTTTATTTATTTATTTATTTATTTATTTATTTATTTATTTATTTATTTATTTATTTATTTATTTATTTATTTTTATTTATTTATTTATTTATTTATTTATTTTCTATCTATCTATCTATCTATCTATCTATCTATCTATCTATCTATCTATCTATTTATTTAATATGCCGCCCACTCTACCCAGAGGACTCTGGGCTGCTTGCAATAATTAAAATTCAATACAATAAAAATAAAATGATTAAAATAATACAATTAAAATACAATTTCCTTGTTCTTTCCCTTTAAAAGAGGACTTATTGCCGAAGCCTGGCAGAAAGCAGAAGGTTTCCTCTTATCTCCCCTCTCATGCACCTTGGATATGTATGTCATTTCTTGGGACAAGCAATTGACTTCAGCCTTGTTCAAACACCTGTTTGAAGGCAGTTGAGGACTATTAGTAGGTAGAGTGGAAAGGCCATGCAGGCCAGCCTCAACGCCTAGATTCTCAACTCACTCAATATATCTTTGATCTTGCCATGTTGAATAGTAAGCTCTGGATGGGCATTTCCACCTATTTTCACTTGAATTCAAGTAGAATCAGGGAGCCCAAAAGCAGCCACTGTGAGTAAGGCATAATAACAAGTCACGTGATGCCATTAAGAGAGATTTGCTATCTCACGAGCCGATGTGGACACACAGTCCATTCCTCAGAGGCAAGAGATTATGTCTGGCCTTCTCTGAGTCAAGGACAGAGGTGGGGGAGAAGGTGTCAACCTGGCCAACCTGGCCAGTTCCCATTCCTCTACTCACTTCTAGCCCACCTGCTTTCAGGCCAAAGATGAAAGGCAAAGACGAAAAGGCAAGAAATGTGTCTTCAGGGCTTTCTTTACCTGCCATGAATTTCTGTCCTTTAGAATCCTTGTGTGGACTTCTGTAAATCTGAATGAGTGTTGACTTTTACAGATAAAGACTGGAGCTCCATGCAGGTCTGAGCGACTGGCAAAATATAATCAGCTAATGAGGTAAGATTTACAATACAGGGTAGGAAAAGGGCAAAAATGCATCACCTCATGCCCCAGCATGAAGCATCAGTCTGACAGGATTGAGTCTGTGCAAGCCAGGGGCCTCCTGCTTCCAGAGACTTCCTGGAACCCAATGGCACTTGGAGAACATCCTGTAGCCCGGGGAAGGTTTGGCTGCCGACACACAGCATTTAGGAGCCATCTATGAAGGAGAGAACAGGCAAGTTTAGGATGTCTTTCAGCTTCTGTCACGCAGCTTTGTAAGAAATTCCGGGACGTATTCTCAGTTTTATTTGTTTGTTTGTTTAAGCAAACAAAAACCGTTTCTGTTTAAGGCAGCAGAAATCAGCCATTCTTGCTGCTGGCATCCAATGCCTAGACTTCCCGAAGCTGCGTAGAAATTGATTTTATTTTCTTTAGACCTAGATGTACCTTTTTTTCCCAATGCATAAATTTTTAGCATTCTTCCACAGATTCTGAGCAAAGCTCAGTATTCCAAAAAGCAGCATTTCCCTTGCTTTTAGCATTAAAACAGCAAATAGTCAAATTGGTTCATCTAGATTAATATTACAGGCTGCATCTGCCATCTTGTTTCATTGAAATGATGCTCAGCAGAACATTTGCCCCTATGCTGGTTTAGATATTTGCCTTACAGCACTACAACCAGCACGTTATCCTCCCATTTCAGAAGGGACCAAGGGAATAGGGACTAGAGGCAGAATTTGAATGGTGGCCTTCCTAGCTCATGGCCTACACTCATATTTCCTGTGGAACACCAGCTTTCAATGGATCTTACACAGTTAAGAGTTCCAGTGGAAATTAGTACGTCTGTGTGCTGAAGTGCCTGAGTTGGATGATTGTTGAAATCCTATCTTTGCACCAGATACGGCTGATAACCCCATCAGTTGTGGCAGTTTTTTTTAAAGGAATAAAACATTTCCAGTTTATCCCTTGCGGCTCCTATGGAATCTCTTCCATTCTCAGGAAGCTTTTGGGAGCCACAGGACAATGAGAGAGGATGCTTTTAATTGCTGAAAATTACAGTCTAATTACTGAAAATCATCAGTGCTGGGATGACTTTAGCGGGGGTGGCGATTTTCGGCAAATGAAACTTTCTCCTGTCCTGCTGCTCCCAATGGCATCCCACAGATAAAACAGATTTCATGGAAGCTTCCAGACCTTTGGAAGAAAACAAAAAATGTTTTATTTCTGAAAAATTGCTGTGGGTGACAAATCATCAGCCTTATGCAGCATAATTTAAGGAACAGGATTTCAGCCCAGGGCCCATGATAGAAGCTCCATCAACTGTCTTTATGTTTGTCTTTCGCAGGATTGAGGAGGAGCTTGGCGATGAAGCCCGCTTTGCTGGGCACAACTTCCGTAACCCGAGTGTCCTATAAATACTGCCCTAGGTACACTCTAGCTTGCCTGCTAATTCCCGTTGCACAGACTCTTTGAGTGCTCCTTAGACCGCATCCCCCATCTTCCCCATTCCTCTCTCTTCTGGTCCGACTCCAGCTACCTGGTCTCTTCTCCTGAGTCTTCTTCCCCTAAACCCTCCTCCACTGGAATTACCCAAGATCCACCAAGAATGGCTCTCCCCGCTACCCATCATGGTGCAGTGCTGCAAGCCAGCTTTGTGTGTATTGCACAGTGTCTGCTCTCTGGGCCTGCTTGAACCATCGATCGACCTCAGTGTAAAACAGTGGGAGTGTGTCTGCCGGGGTATGCGGCCAGTGTGTGCAGTTTTAAAGGTTGTCCTTAGAGCAGAGTGCAAATTGTGCTCTGTTTTTGGCTCCAGGTTCTGTCTTTGTTGTTACCGCTTGGAACATCAGGTGCTGTTTTGCTTGATGTGAGTTGTACTGTCCCTAATTAATTGCTCTCTGTGTTTGTGTACTGCAATACCTGAGCCAGAAGCTGGTTGCATTTGATCAGAAAGTTATAGAAAGTTACAGAGAAAGTTTTTGTCTGAAACACAAAGGCAAGTTATGCTGCTACGATACACTGGGTCATTGTGCCATGCTTTGTGGGGTGTTGTGGGTCAGTGCATTTGTGGGTGTGTTGTTGCAGTCAGCACCCTGCTCAGATTGCTTTCCCTTTTGTTGCCCTCTGGATGTTTGGTCACACAGCACTCTCTCCCTCATCACGTTTTCCCCATCTTGCTCTCCTGTCACTTCTGCTTTGACCTCCAGAAGTTTCACCCTCAACTGAGCAACAGTGACAAGTAATAGGAAAACAAGGAACACCTAGGGAAAAAAAATCTACCAACAGAGAAACCCTCAATTAAATTTGTTTCACACCTGCTTCTGCCTGAATATCTCTCTCTTCGTTTTTTTTTATTGTGGAAGATGAAGATGCAGGAACTTTGTGAATGGGAGAAGCATATATCACGAAATTCAGATTCTGAGATACAAGGCAGGGCCTGCTGGGGGAAAGGGGACAGCCTGTAAGCATCGAATCTTTCTGTTCAGGGGAAGAGCACAGCTCTACATTTTCTCCAGCAATGGAACATAATGCATGAAGGTTGACCTTCCCCGCTTGGTTTACCAGTTGCCAGGAGGACAGAGAGAGTATGAAAGCACTCATAAAGCAAAGGGGAAAAAAATCTGTCTCTTGATTCTACCCTTACACTCTGAAATTTCAGAGGGTGACTACAAGGGCATTTGATCTGCTGCAGAAACAGGCTGGTTCACTCCTAAAGATGGCAGTCAGATGATGTCTTTGCTTAAGTGAATCAACCCACCTCTAGGGCGTTCCTGTCCACACCATTTTGGCCTCTGTTAGGGGCTTCTACTTGGCTGGTGCAGATAGGATTGCTCTGTTTTGGATTGTTTCCAGTATGTGCGATCGCTGGAAGCAAACCAAAAGCGAGCCTTCTACTGCCCATTTGCCATATAATAAGTGACTTAAGAAGAGAGCAACTTCAGAGTACTGGGAAATTAAATGCTGCTTCAGCTTTGTGGAAGGGCTGAAGAAGTGGAGGAGGGGGGTAATTAAATGTAGAGCAGTGCTTTTTTCTTAAAGATCCTGTCGAGAACTTGACAGCAGCTGAGTCAGGCAGGTTCTCAACCAGACCTTTAAGAGAAAAGTGAACAAAATCCCCATTTTGTTTGTGTTGCTTCTGGTCTCCAGCAAGGATTTTAGTGCAATATCATATCTGAATTGCTCTGCCATTGAACAGCCTGAATCAGGTAACTAGGATAAAATATAATAGTATACAACAGTTGCCTTGACACGGGTTCAGATCCTTGCATGCACAGAATCAGAACATAAAACACTGTCAAGTACGCTACTAAACACATAAACAAATAAAGAACAAGCAATATGATAAAATGCTTACAGTGTTGGACTAGGGCTCGGAAGACCCGGGTTCAAAGCTCTGTTTGGCCACGAAACTCACCGAGTGGCCATGGACCAAACTGCATTCTCTGAGGCTGACCATCACAGGATTGTTTACGGGATGAAGCAGAAAGAAGGATTGCTAAATATACCACGCTGAGCTCACTGGAGAAAAGCCAGGATAAATATGCCAGAAATAAATAAATAACTCCATGCAGAGGATCCAACATGTTGCATAAGGTTCAACCCAATATTATGGACCAATAATAAACCCTGCAGGTGGTTTCCTTCTGACAGCGGTTTTCTACATTCTCAGAAGGCCCGGCAAAGGCAGGCTGGGGGAGTGGGCAACTGCAGGAGGGCCCCATGGCAGTGTTCATGAAGGGAAAACCCTGACTCCCGAGTTGCCAGAATCAGGAGTGGTGTTCAAGCCTTGCCACTGAAGACAGGTCAGCTCCCCTGGCCAGGGAAGAGCAGAAGAAGGCCTCAGCCATATTTAATGCATCTGGTCTGACCAATCCAAAGGCATTCTACCTTTTGCCACTCATGGGGGGGGGGGAAGCAATGTTTCAGAAACCTCTTGTTCTTTTTTGTGTGTCTCAGGACACATATGCCAGGTGACTCATAGCATGAGGTCTCTGACTCAAAACCCTGGGTTCTCACCTGAGCCCTGGCACTCCAACAAGTTTTGTGCCTAAATCCTAGTTAAATCAGATTTAGCTCTGCTTCTTTGCCATCAGGATTTGCACAGAACAGAACTGCCCTCAACCACAATAGAAACTAAACTCCAGCATACCTATTTCTAGTGCTTCTCCTTTGGTAAATCTCTGTTCTTGTTTTGCCTTGTGGAGTGCTTAAACAGCATACAGAAACACCTCCGTTGCCTCAGCACCCATTCCCCAGTATCTAGAAGTTACATTTCTGAGTGAGATATGTGCCCACCTCCTTAAAAAATAAATAACAATAAATTAGACCGATTCATGGAATTTGGAATCCAATCACACTGTGTTTTGACACAGGAGATAATGTGTCACCATCATCATGACTTGTAGCCATTGACTGATGACGGTGACACATTATCTCCTGTGTCAGACGTAGCAGGCTTCTCAGGGCAAGGTGCTGCAAAACTAACACACCGTGTGATTGGATTCCAACGATCTCTGTGGGACAACCCCTCGCTCCAGACTCACACACGGAGATGGTTCATTTTTAAAGTCAATCGTTCTATTCAACTCAGCTTTTGGTTTCTCAACAACAACCTCCGAGGGTCCTAGTTCAACATCACTGGACACCTCTTTGGGTACAATATTAGCAACATGTTGAGTCCAACTCAAACGGTGATGGGCTCTCCCACTAGGGTCTTATGTAGAGTATATATGTTGAGTAAGAGGGAGTCCTGAACACAGGCAATTGCAACAAAGGTAAAGGCCCCAGTTCTCCCAGTAAACCTTTCGTTTTCTCTCCACTCCCTTCTCCAAAGGGATCTTTCCTCTCTTTCCTTCCTCCAACTCACTCTCTCCTTCCCTCCCTCTCTCTAAGTGCCTCCTTGCCCCTCTCTTCCTTCTCTCCTCAATAAGAAGGTTTGGAGGGAGGCAAGTGGAATACCTTATCCTTTCAGCTTCCCCATGTGGAACCATTTGCTTTTCTCATTTACCTATCCAATGATTTTCTTGATGGATCTATCCCCATTCTGCTAACCATCAGGTCGGGGTCCCTCCCTTTGTGTTTCTGGTGGTTGGTTCCTTCTCTGTGTCCCTGGTCTCTCTCCTCTCTTTCCCTTCTCCTTTTATTTCCCCTCCTTCTCCTGACTCTTCCTCTATCCCCTCCCGTTCTTTTCCTGGGTCTTTTCCCCACCTTATCCCAACCCCATCAGTTGGTTCCACAGTTTCGGGGCATCCCTGTGCTTCAGGGCTAATAGCTCTGACAGGACTCTCTATCTTCATTTCTCCCAAGCCGATGTCTACAGGGGAACTGGTGGTTCTATATTCTTTACTTCCCACTGAAAGACTGGATGGCACCCGGCAGTCTGATGGTTTTCCCCGTCCTCTTTCTCACACCCAGGAGGACATTTTGCCCTCTTGTCTAGCTTGTCGGCTTCCCACAGGTCAGGTCTGGTTGGGCACAATGGGAACAGGATGCTGGACAAGAAAGGGCTGAGGGCTGAGTCAGAAGGACTCTTGTTTTGCATGTGAGCACACATCTCAGTTCTAATGCACTGTTTCATGTAAATATATCAAAGATCCTCAGACATGTCGTGCCAGCTGCTTTCTCCCCCTCCCACTGCCTCCTCCTATCCATAAATGACTTATGATCTATATCTAGAATTTAAATGTCACTGTTGCTAAATGTGTTCATGCAGTTGGGAGAAAATGGTCTTCAGCAATGGGGAACAAATACAAGTATTGAAGCAATTCTCCTTGTGAGATCATGGATATTAGCCATAATAGTACAGTGTCCCTGTTTTCATTCATGCTGTGTTAGAGGATGGCCAGAATCCTTTAGGCAATTTGCACTTGTATAAGGGAATGATGGCTAATTGCCATCCATTTACCAGGTGCTGGCGGTGTCCCTGCAGGTGTGTATCATTGGGTGTGCACCCAAGAATGCAACCAGCACTCATTGATTAGCAGCAATTTGCTGCTGTGGCCTTACCTGATTTCCCTTTGTTGTTGTTGTTTAGTCATTTCGTCGTGTCCGACTGTTCGTGACCCCATGGACCAAGAATATATCCCCACTAGGATTCAAAGTGATACGTCGCTCTTGAAGTATTTAAAACAGGCTTGTCCAACCCGCTGCCCAAGGGCCGCATGCGGCCCAGGTCAGCTCGTAATGTGGTCCAGTGCAATTTTTTATTTTTAAAGAAATTCCAAAATTTCAAGTTACACTGCTGGTGCTTGCGGCTGGAATGTGGCCGGGGCATGTCACAACAGTAGAGGGGGAGAGAGAGAAGGAAGGAAGGAGTGGGAGGGGGGGCTGCGTGGACCCCCTCCCGGCCCCATAAAGCCGCCGGAGTCGAAGCTGGCAGCCTCTGCTGTCTGAGATCACAGCTGCCGGTAAGCGTGCTTGGAGTGGGGCTGCGGAGGATGGCTAGGGCTGCCCCCCCATGCGGCCCAAACCAAATGTATGTGCGGCCCAAACCAAAATTTCATCTTCTAATGTGGCCCAGGGAAGGTGAAAGGTTGGACACCCCTGATTTAAAACAAAATATCAGTGCAAAGCCTGCTGTGCTAAGGTCAGCAGTATAGCCTTTTCAGTGGCTGAAAGGAAAGGAAAGGAAACTTTTTTTCATAGGGTGCAGCTACACTGCAATTCACACCACAGTTTGTGCAAGAGTTAACATGGTTACAATTGATGTATTTTCCATTGACTACATAATGTACACCTAATCATTGACTACATAACATACACCCTCCTGTCAATATTTAACTCTTTTTTCTTTTTCTTTCTTTATTTGTTCTATTATTGTATGTGTTCTGATTGAATGCAGACTTCTATGTGTAATATTCTTATGTTTTACTGTATATATTTTTATTGGAAGCCACCCAGAGTGGTCGACCAGACTAGATGGGCGGGATATAAATCAAATAAATCAAATAAATCAAATAAATCAAATCAAATCAATCAATCAATCAATCAATCAATCAATCAATCAATCAATCAATCAATCAATCAATCAATCAATCAATCAATCAATAAAAATTATCATAAGTAAACCCAATTTCTTTTCATAGACATTTATTGCTTTTGGTTCAGCTAGTAGAGAAAAAATTGTTTTGTTTTATTTTCTTGTAGCAATTCCAGTCCCATCACTTTTGTTTGTGTTTGTTCCTGGCATGTGTGTTTGCCTTTACTGGTCCAAAGAGCCAGGGGTCAGTTTGTCATGGAGTGATGTTGATGGTGGACCATATTATATATATTAAAAAGCAAATGACATAATACTGGATTGGCACAACCTATGAAACTGATGTGCTTAAGC